CATTGTCCACTTCTGATATCTTATTATTGATCACCTGGACATCTTTTTGCAGATTTTGAATTGTTTCCAATGCTGTGTCAATCCTATTTGATTGTTCCTGTAGTACTTTCCTTACTTCTTCCTTATTTTCCTTGACCCCTTTTCTGAGCATTTGAATTTGTTTCCATATCATTCTTCTGAATTCCCTCTCGGGCATATCCAGAACCCACTCCTCCTCCTCTATAAAGCCTTTGTCTGTCTCCAGCTCATTTGCATCAGCTGCTCTCTTCTGTTTTTGGACATGTTTGGATAAGGTTTGTTGCTTTTTAATTCATCATGATTATTATTATTTTATTAATAATATGATCAGGAGATAGGCTTCCCTTATCACCTGTAATGCGTAGCAGGTGTTGTTAGATCTTGTCTCAGTAGTGGAGTATTATGGTGTATTCTTATAGTTTGGCTATAGGGCCACAATTTCTGCCTCTTCTTAGGTGACGTAGGGAGGAAAAGCTCCCACCTCCAGGAAAGATGTGTGATCAAAAGGACCAAAAGCAGAAGTAATATAAACACATAGACAAAAATCACCACTTTGGAGCAGAGATGCAGCTTTGGTCAACTTTCCTGTGCTACTCCATCAGTGTGTGTGCACATAGAAGCCTCCAGCAGGGAGTAGGGGTGACCCCTCTTTCAGGCCCCTTCTCTAGCCACTACCATATAGGTGGGTAGATATATATTGGGGAGCTAATGGGAGAAAGATCATCTACTATTTTTGTCTCTGAAATTTCTTATCTGCCTTTTAGCAGGGCAACTCTTGGGATGGTTGTGTCCTATTATGCTGTGGTTTTGCAAATTGCTCTGTATTGATGGAATGCTGCCAACCGGTTTGGCAACTCAACAGCTGAAGTTTGCTAGAACAATAGCTGGGAATTCCAGCATAGTAGTTACGAATCAGGCTGTGAACCTCAAGGTTAGCAGTTCCAAACTACCAGCTGTCCCACAGGAGAAAGATGAGGCTTTCTGCTCCCATAAAGATTTACAGTCTCGGAAACTCTGTTCATGGTCACTATGGGTCGGAACGGACTTGATGGCACTTAACAACAACCTGGGAGAAAGGCGAGGTGCCCCACCCCTGGCTCAGATACACAGCCTCAGATTTGAGCCCGCTGGTGGTGTCTTAAGTTGCTGCTCAGCTCCCTCTTTCTGTACTGTGGGAATACTGTCCTGCCTGATGTCCAGGCTGAGAAATAATGCTGGGACAGGGAGAGAGAGAGAGAGGGAGAAATGTGTAGTTTCCCGTGGTTTTCTTTCACCTTTTTCTTTTTGCTGGAAACGTGGTTTTCTGAACCCGGCTGGCTTTAGCCCCGCCCTCTAAACTCTGCTGGGGCGGGGCGGGGTAGTCGCGGAGATGGTCCAGCCTCCAGATTCCTAAGATGCCCGTATTTTCCTTAGTAGCTTGATTTTTTCACACATGCTAGTTTGGGAGACTGCAGTACTGGATCTTATATTAGATCCAGAGCTCTAGAGTTACTGTATGAACTCTTCCTTCGTGAGCTCCCCCTCCCCTCTCAACTGAGCGTACCACCTACCTGGCTTCTATGGCTGCCGCCCCAAACCAGAAGTCTGCAAAATTTTTGATAAATTCTGTGTATTATAGGAGTTGAAAGTGTAAATACTGGAATCAGACTGCTTGGGTTCAATTCCTAGTTCTATAACTTATTAGCTATGTGGGCTTGGGCAAGTTAACTCACAGTTTCCTCATTTGTAAAAATAGGGATAATGATAAAACTTTCCTCACAGAGTGGTTATAGCAACACAATTAATGTATATTATATATATTGTTGTTGTTAAATGTCATCGAGTCGGTTCCAACCCATAAC